TAAACAACCTACGTTTCGCAGATGACACAGCCTTTCTTGCAAATAGTCAAGCAGAGCTGATGGAACTTATACGACTGATCGAAAACGAAAGTCAAATATTTGGTCTGCAATTAAACATATCAAAGACAAAGATCATGATAGTGGATAGACTACACAACAATCATCCACACATAACCACAATTGACCGGTTCGAGGTTGTGAGCTCATACTTATATCTGGGATCATTAATCACAAACACAGGGTCATTACAAGAAGAGATTAAACGTAGATGTGATTTAGCAAAAGTTGCCACAGCAAAAATGACCAAAATATGGAAGGAATGTCAAATTTCAAGAGCGATAAAGATGAGGTTGATCAACTGCTTAATATTCCCAATACTGACCTACGGATGTGAATGTTGGACTCTGAGACAATCGGAGAGAAGAAAGATAGACGCCACTGAAATGATCTGTTGGAGACGAATATTACGAATTCCTTGGATCGACCGTAGAATAAATAATTTAATTTTAAGAGAGCTAAAAGTTAGCCAACGACTCTCTAGTAAAGTCCATCTCCAACAATTAAAATATTTTGGGCATGTTATGAGAGCAAACACAGAAAACATGGAAAGACTCATAATACAAGGAAAGGTAAAAGGCCGAAGATCACGAGGAAGATCCCCAACAAGATGGATAGATCAAATTACAGGAATATGCCAAAGACCTATGTATGAATTAAAATAAATGACCAGAGACAGAGATCTCTGGAGACGGACAATACACGACATCACGTCGACCACTACACTCCCTCTGGGGGGTCAGGATTGAAGAGATGAAAAAGATTATCATTTTGGTTGTCTTTAATTATTATTTCTAATAAATCTGAGAGTTGTTTTTGCCACTTATGCTATGTGACCCATTTAGATTGAAAACATTCGTTTAACAACAAAAATTGTTTAATCACATCTTGCGATACTTTTTCGTATCCAAAAAAGTATTATTAAAAAGTCACTTACGCCAAATAAGTATGACCACCATTTTATAAATTTAATAGTACATTGTTTACCGGGTAGGAAAAGCTTAACATTCCTGGACGACTGTGAAGATTGCTAAGTCGAGGAGCAAGCCGAGACCAGGAATGTGGCTTTTCCTACGAGGTAAACATACTATTTTTCCACAAATCGTTTAAAATTCGACAGATATTGATTGATTTAAAAAAAACGCGATAATTTTATTCCCAAATAAATGGTGCTTTGAAATTCCTAATAAAATTACTTGGGTTACTATGGAAACGTATTGAGGTTGAATTGTCAAACTTGACGCTTATATGTAGAACAGTAACAACTGTACGGAAATATTATTTCCTTACAGTAAGGAAATGACATTTCCTTACAGTAAGGAAGTCCTGATTTTTTCTTCAAGAAATTTTGACAGGAATGTCAAAATTTCCTGGCGATTTGCGGAAAACTATATTTACTGATGACAAATCTAGACCAACTTACAATTTGGTATATAGTTTTCTAGTAGTGTTATATCTAGTTATCGAGAAGGCAGACTTAAAAAAACTGAAACACCTTTTACTTTTACCTTTTAGTCTCTCAGTCTTTAGAAAAAAAAATAACGTCGGGTTTATCTTCTTTATCTTGTAATACATGGTGCTGTTTATTCTATTAACCCAGCTCCAGTGATGTTGATGTTAAGCTGTCATGTTACCCCTTCGGGAGTCTTCCTAGTGGTCTTTTTATATTTGATTTATGTGTTTTTACCCATTTCGCGATTCTTTCTGGATCCAATCTATCGACATGATGTCTCCATATGAGGCGTCTTACTCGTGTGCATCTTACGTGTGGGTATTTTTAGTACTGGCCTTACATATGCCTTAAATATCCAGATTTTTCTTTCTAAGCTCATATATTTGACTCTCCATATAATATCCCTCAACGACATAAAAAGAAATAAAGCGGCCGGTGAGGACAAAATACTGGCGGAACTGCTAAAAGAAGGAGGAGACACGATAAAAAATGCTAAAAATACTGTTTAACAAATGTCTGTTTGAAGGTAAAATACCTAAACAATGGAGAAAAGCCAACACAATTTTAATACATAAGAAAGGAGACCGAACAGACCTAAACAACTACCGTCATATTTCCCTTTTGTCACAACTATATAAAACCTTCACAAGAATAATAAACAACCGACTAAACTATTAACTTGATAACTACCAACCAGTGGAACAGGCCGGATTCAGGAAAGGATACAGCACAATCGACCATCTACATGCGCTTAAAATCTTAATTGAGAAAACCAATGAATACATCCTTCCGCTGTACTTAGCATTCGTAGATTATGAAAAGGCTTTCGATAGCATTGAACACTGGGCGGTTGAAGAAGCTCTGGTCAATAGTAGAATAGATTCAAGATACCGACAATTGATACATGATATTTATACGACAAATTAATAACGGATAATATAAAAGTTAAACGAGGAGTCCGACAAGGCGATATAATTTCACCTAAACTGTTTATCTTGACCCTCGAAGACATAATAAAATCAACAGATTGGGAAAACAGAGGAGTATGTATTAACGGAAAATACCTAAATCACCTTAGATATGCGGATGATATACTCCTGATCTCCTCGGAACGACAAGAACTGGAATTAATGCTGAATGAACTTCATGAAAAATCACTGCAAAAAGGCCTAAAAATTAACTTCAACAAAACAAAAGTAATGACAAACACGGATACCAAGAGACAATAAAAATAAAAACAGAAAAAATAGAACAGGTAAATGAGTATATCTATCTAGGACAAGCAATCAGAGCTAACAGAGAAAATCAAACAGCCGAAATATCGAGACGAGTAAGAATGGGATGGGCAGCGTTCGGCAAACTTTCTTACGTTTTAAAAAATCAAACAATCCCTCTATACTTACGAAGCAAGGTATATAACTCCTGCATAATACCGGTGCTCATCTACGGAGCACAGACATGGACATTTACACAGGTCAATTTGGATAGGATAAGGAAGGCACAAAGAGCGATGGGGAGACAAATGTTGGGTGTATCACTTAGAGATAAAAAACGTAACCAGTGGATCAGAACCAGAACAAAGACAGTAGACGCGATAGAACAAGCAGCAAAACTGAAATGGAAATGGGCTGGACACAATGAACGTCTCCAAGACGGACGATGGAACAATGCCATCGGAAAGTGGAGTCCATACAATGCAAAGAGATCAAGAGGCAGACCACAGATGAGGTGGAAAGATGTCATCAGGAAACAAGGAGGTCCCACATGGCAGAGAACAGCTCAAGATAGGGAAAGATGGAGAGAACTGGGGGAGACCTATATCCAACAATGGAAGGATAGAGAATAGGTTAAAAAAAATATCCCTCAAGTACGCCTATATTCTAGCTTCCTTGTTGACTTGTTTTTTGACTTCTTCTGCAGCATATCTTTCTCTTACATCTGTTGGTGCTCTTGGCTATAACCATTGAATGGGTCTTTTCATGGGATATGAACGTTTTTAACTTATGTGCGGTTATATTAAATCTGTAAAATAGACACTGGAGGTCATCTTCATTATCTGTGTGATTACTGCATCACTCGCATAGCAGGTAATACTCAAAGCTCAGTTCCCCATTTTGTATGGGGAATTATGTTAAAAAGATTCGCACTGAGGCTATCCCCCTGCCTAATTCCTAACAACACGTTTATGTCTTGGTCAGTCCATGATCCGTTTTTATTCTTGTTTTGTTTATTGCTATGTATTTTTGATTGGCGTTTTTCTGATTCATTCTTTGACTTACGTCTTTAAGTTGGGTTTATTAAACTTTGGAGTTCTCTACTAGTTGCATTATAATAAAAACTGCGTAAAGACTGTGTCAGTTGTACATCGATTGATAGCGACACTTTTGTCTTTTACTTCGCTGTACATATCGGTATCATTGTACAGATTATTGAAGGGTTCTGTTAAGTTTTTATGTGTTATGATATTGTTGTTTTTTGCATTCTCTCCATACATGTCATGCTCAATTTCTACAGATAATCTTTCCCTATAATGTTTGCTTTAGTTCATTTATCTAACAGTTCACTCTGCTTCTAGCTTTTTATAGAAGATTATATGGTAGAATAGTTAAGAATACGATTTGAAACAGGCGTTTGATGGACTAGACAAAAAATAAAATAAAATAACTATTCATGTTAGGAATACCGAAACCTTTAGTTGAACTTATACAAATGACTTTGAAGGTTTCCAAAGCCACGGACAGAATAGATAGAGATGTGTCAGAAGCATTTGATATTGAAAATGAAGTTAGGCAAGGTATTATCAGAAAACTAGATAAAAAATAGGTATTAAGTGAAAAACGTACAGATTTGAAACAGGAAGCCCCTGCATTTGGTCTAAATATAAATGAAAGAAAAATAAAATGCACAAAGTCGAATCGACATGAAAATTTGAAGGTAGAAAACCATACGTACGAATGTGCCTCCACCTTTCCCTACCTCGGCTCAATAATAAATGGCAGTAACTACGTCAGACAAGAAACTTCATTTAAGCAGTTCCCAAATTCCTACCAGGATTTTTATTTTGCATCTCCTACTGCCTTTTTGTAAATTTTATTTTTGTGTTTATATAATCCCGTGTCCCTTGAATCCTTGTCATAGCAAATTTTACTGGATTTGTCCACCACCATTCATCATTCAATTTTTGTTTTTCATTATTTTATTAATTCCACAGGATTCTTTAGCTAATTTATATATAACTTCCTTTAATTTTTTCCGTTTTTTATCTAATGAGCACTCTTTTTTAACCTTTCCGTATTTCTGTAGTGTCTTATTTATTTTATTTTGTTTATATTAGTTTCCTTATGTTTATCTGGGTATACTGTATATTCTCTAATTCGATATCTGGTATTTCTATTATTTCCGCTATTACTAGTCTATGATGTGTGTTCAGTCCAAGTCATATTCATTACAAGTTGAAATAAGTAGTATAATAGTTTTTCTATTGTTGCAGTGATCTTAGCCTCTTCCATGAGCTCCAACAACCATACAGGGCAAATTGGAATTGGCACAATCCCGTTGTGAATCCTAGACGAGCAATCGAAGAGGAACTAGCATCTTCGGAAGACGACAGCGATGAACGCGAACCACTAGCCAAAGACTACAAAGATCCACCTGCTGCCAGTTCAGAGCAAAAACCTGTCTTGGTGCCTAAACCAAAGCCCGATCTGAAATCGATACCCGAAAAGCCTGAAATTCCCGATTTACCTGAGAATCCAGAAAGACCTTTAACTGAGATTCTTCCGGGTGGTGTGGTGGATGTTAATTCTGATGGTTTTGGAGGTCCTTTCAATCCATTTGGACCCGAGTTTGATTTTTCTTCGTCCTTTGGAGTTAATTCGAAACCCTTCGGCATTGGAGATTTGTTTAACACGTTCCAGGGTAGTCAATGGTGGAAAGGGTGAGTAATTTTAGAATATATTTTTTTTACATTTTACCTTAACAAAAAAGTTATAGAATTTTATTTTATTAAACCTGATTAAGATTTATAATAAAATCCAATAGAAATATTTTTCGTGAAAAATTTTTATTTTTCTGACGTACACTTAATATACTGTTATGTATTACCATGTTGTTTATACCATAGCGCTTCTGTCCTAATAATTTTTTCTCGCTTACGTTAATTATAATATTCTAGTGCGTTTTTGCACCTTTATTATCTGACTAGATCTTCTGGATGTCTTATTGGGTTATTGGGAACTGTTTAGATCTTATGACCAAACCTAATGTAACTTATAATACTAATTTGCACTGGCTAATTTTTACCAAAGTCCTTTTACTTTATTAAATAACCCATTCTCTTTATGTTCTAACCTATATCAACTATTGCATGCCCACTAACAGCTTTCCAAACGTAGTATTCACTTACACTGCTATTTTTTAACAGGAAACGCAGGCACCCAGACACTGTAGATGTTGAAATTATGTCTTCACCAAATGACTTTAATTTCCACTCTATTAACAAGCTTAGGCCTAGACATAGAGGAGGACTGGATGTTTTTAAAACCAAACCGCTTGATTTAGATATGTTCGTCATCAGGAAACATAAGCGGGAGTTCAAACCAAAGAAAATTTTTATTGACTGGGAGAAATTTTTAGAGTAAAATGTACATATAATAATTAATAAAATAAAATAAAATGTACATATTAATAATAAATTATTTTTAAAACAATAAAGCTTAAGAATATCATTCATATTATTGTACTTACTTACTCGACGGAGCTACAGTCCATAGTGAGTCCGTGCTTGACCAACTTCCAGCTTCCTCAAATCTTCATCAATATCGTCCATTAATTCTCTTGGAGTTCCTCATTAGATATTCTGGACCAATTGCATTTGTGGGATTCTTTCCATGTTGCCTGCTTAACTTAGCCTGGCGGCTTTATCTCTGCTACTAGGTTAGGTGCGCTGTTCATCATGGCCATTTCATTGTTACTTTTTATAGTCCATATCCTTTTGATGTTAATATACTATTCAATTTAATCTATTATTGGTTTGAACTGCATTGATTTTTCCACCTAGAGCTCTGAATATACTCTTTGGAGTCATCTTTTGTACTTTTGAAGTCTTTTATCAGCCAGAAATCAACTGACACAAATTTTCATCGTAAGCACTATTTGGTACATCAGAACATTGAATGTTATTATAATAGTGCACTATACTATTAATTTTTACATATTTCTAATATTATTTTCCATTTCTTAAATTATTTTTTTGCGTCCAATATGATACAATTTTAATCATCTATAGGGCAAACTAATACAGAAACGATATTAAGTTCTGGTCAATGTTTTTGGTTGTAGTCAAACCTTCTTCTTCTTAACGTGCCCTATCAAGTCCCCTTGACGTTGGCGATTAACATGGCAAAACTGTCTCTGTCTCGAGCTATTCTAAATAGTTGCTCAGCTTTCATTATTCCTGTCCACTCCCTGATATTCTTCAACCAAGAGGCCTGCTTTCTAGCAATTCCTCTGAGTCCTTCGATTTTACCCATCATAATAAGTTGAAGAATATTATATCGGTTTCCCTTTACTACGTGTCCAAAATAGGCCATCTTTCTACATTTGATGTTATCAAGCAGCTCGCGAGCAGCATTTGCTCTTTCAAGGACTGCCACATTTGTCAGCATAGCCGTCCATGGAATTTTTAGTATACGTCTGTGCAGCCACATCTCAAAGGCCTCCAAACGATTAATGGTAGATATTTTTAATGTCCATGCTTCGACACCGTATAAGAGGACTGACCAAATTCATTTAACATTTAACCATTTAGCATTTAACCATGCGCTTTCGAAGTTGAATTTGCAAGTTATCATTACAGAAGAATGACCTCATTTTTAAAAATGTCGTGCGGGCCATCTCGATTCTACATTTTATCTCTTGATCTGGATCTAGTTATTCAGTAATATGGCAACCAAGATATTTAAAACTGGACACTCTTTGAATTATATGACCATCAACATATAATCGTGCATCTTGATGTGCTAAACGGCTAAACACCGTGTGTTTTGTTTTGAGCAGTTTATGTTTAGGCCAAATTCTCTTCCCACTTTATCAATGGCATTGTAATCCATTCATGTCATCACTTAAAATAACTGTATCGTTTGCATATCTGATTGTATTTATCAGAATTCCATTAACTTTCACGCCCCATTCCAAATTATGCAGCGCTTCTTTAAATACCCTATCTGAATATAAATTAAATAACAGTGGGGATAGTATACAGCCCTGTCTGACACCTCTTTGTATTTTACATATTTCTGTTGATTTTCCATTTATGCAAGCTGTCGCTGTTTGACGCCAGTATAGTCAAACCACAGTAATATAAAAATATAAGAAAAGTCTGGGAATCTTTTCTAAGCCAGTTGATTTTTCAACCAGTATCCAGTTATGCAAAATAATTTTCCATAAAATTTCTCTGATCGAAATTTCAACCAGTTAATTGTTTTCATAATTAAACAATACTTTGTAACGTAAAAATGTAACATATTATTCCACATAAAACCAGATTATTTGAAAAAGAACATAAAATTAAAAAGCCGTATTTACAAAGCGTAATAGTTATTTATTGTGGAAAGGAAAGAAACATGGTATGCAGAGGGCTATTTCGCATTTAGCGCAAGCTAGCCTAGATCTTTTTTGGTGCTTGTCTGTACTTTTTAAATTCTTAAAGGTACATCTTCTTAAATTCATATTAATTGAATTCTCAGCCCAACATTGGTATTCTAAACAGTAATTGCTCTACCAAGTTGATTTGCCAGAATGCTTCTGAATACTAGATGTGCTTCAGGTTTGAGTCGAGCCTGTTTATTCAAAGCTAAAGTTTTGTACATAATAAATGCGTTTACAATATACATTTTGTACAATGTACAATATATTTTGTACATTGACAAAATAGTACCAAAGTTTCAATCGCCACTTTCGAGACTTCCAGTCAATGCTGTAAGAAGAATGAATGACTTCATCCATATTTCGATTGTAATCTTCAGTACTCTTTGAACATTGTACTGTTATTTTTGATCATTCTTTAGTTATACGCTGAACTGAAGATTTTCTCTAGTCTGTTACATTTTGTATGACACTAGCCATAATTACACATTTTGTCTCTATCCCTTGTTTATTCACTGTAATATTGCTGGTAGGAACACTGTCAAAGTCGCCAGTCTGTAAATTTTTATCGGGTCAGTTCGTCTGTAGGAAATTATTTTCTATTCAACCTTATAGTCCCATAACAAAACAATTTCCGATCCAAAAGCTTGGAGAGCAATGTAAAGCTGGTAAAAAATTATCAGTACTAAGAAGACACAGTAATACTTTCCTACAAAAGCCTCAAATCCAAAACAGTTTATTCATCGAGAAGACCCTCTTGCTTTCCGTTTTGTCTCCATACACAGAAAAATTTAACAAATAACAAGTTCCAGAGCATGAGAGCCCATACTTTATTGCCTCTTTCTATTGGCTTCATCCGTATGTGTTGATTTAGACTGGTTCTGTTTTTGAAAATAATCATGCTTTCATCTACAGCTAAATTTCTACTTTTACTATATGATCTCTAAAATTTTTCCTTTAAATAGGAAATCAAAACTTTTACCTTGTACAACTTGTCAAAATTTTTTGGTCTCACCTTTTCGGTGAGATTCGATGAGAAACCATTTCTTGGTTATTACTAATATGCAAATATTGTAGAATTTTCAAAACCCTTTTCATGGGTATGATACTAGATATTTTATCTGTACGGAAATTTGGATCCATCGACAAATACAAACGTAAACTTGGCAAGTGGTTGAAGCCCATTTTAATTAGCATAATAATAAATGCTTTTAGCTCATTCGGTGACAAATCTAACTTCTTGTCATTGTGGTGAGCATAACGATTTAGACTTATCGACCATCCTTTGCAAATATCCTTTCCAAATATTTCCAATAAAATGTCAAGCTGAGACTGGCTTGTTATATTCGAACCCGAAGATTCAGCAAATGTTACTGCTTCGAAAACAGCATTTTTTTTATAAATTATTTTTCCCCTACCCGATGTAGATGCTGAAGATAGAATATTTACTAAATAGGAAGTTGAGCGCCAACTATTTTTAAAATAAAAAATGGTGAAATAAATAAAAAAGATAATAGATGAAAAAATCGGAAGAAATTGAAATAAAATAATATTTGAAGAATACTTACAAACATGTGACGTTTATGTAACATTATTTATATGACTTTAACATATATTTTAAGTAAGTAGTGGAAAAGTTATTTCATATGCAAACAATGTAAATATTCTGCTCGCAAAAGTTTATGTAGTTATATCATCTTTATTTATTTACCTACTTAAGCAAATATAAATTCCAATCACTGTTATTTAACAATATATAGATAATATAATTTACATTTGTTTGTCGTTATCCTTGTGCAGTAATGCTAAGAGTATTGGTTATTATAGAAAAAAAATATATACATCGATACTTCAGAATGCTCAAACATGTATAAAAATGTGGTGACCATGTATTACGCACACAGTTTGGAATAGAATAGGGACCATATTGGTATTTTGTCTTAAAATTATAATGCAATGGTTTTACACTTGCCTTTTGGATCATATGACTTTAATAAATTATCATCATCATCATCATCATAATTCTTGCTTTACAACCCTGTGTTGGTCTATCCTCCTCAAGAATTTCTCTGCTGTTGTTTAATCCATTGCCTCCTGCGCCACTTATTCCCATATTTCTGATATTTTCATTGATGTTATCAAGGAACCTTGTTCTGCAGCAGTTCTGAACCAGCAGTTCTGGGTCTTCTTCTTCTTCTCTGATCAATGAGTCTATTAAGGAGCTTTTTTTTTAACTTATTCAGTTATTGTATCTGCAGTGCAGTAACTTACGTTTGTATTTTAAGAACGATT